GACAAACTTGCCGGCACCTATGGCCCTGAAGCTCAGGGAGATACTGTACAGTAAAAAACGACTTGAGGAGTGGTGTGAAAGCCCAGCACAAGCCCATGGAGGCCCATCAGCAAGATCACAGGCCGAGGCAGAAATAGCAAAGGAGAAGGAAGCATGGCACTGAAGTATTGTACCAGCAAGAGGAGAGCCTGATAAGGAGCGAGGTGCGTTTTTCAACACAAAAGAGAATAGCAGATGAGTCAAAGCTTTGTTTTCTGTTTGTGTTCACTAAAACTTTTGACTTAACCAGCAGCAGAAGCACTCCCAAAGTATTTATGGATCAGACATGCTAATAAGCTTATTGATAGAGAGCCAGGTAACTTTGATATGGAAAAATTAAATAGATCTCTCAGCTTCTTCCATGCTGGCTTCAAGGATTGTGGCTATCCCTGAGTCGTCCCCGCAGGTCCCCATGATGGTTGCAAGTTGTTTAAAATACGAGCCTGGAGGTGAGTTCAGGTACTTTGAAACGTGACGGCACTGTCTTTTACCCGTGCGTTTGGGCTGGGAAGGGCTGCTCCTGACGGGGGGACGCAGCTTTCTGTGGGGTCAATCAGCTCTTTCCATTGGGGGAAAAAAACCTGGAGGCAACAAGGGTTGGAAAATCTTAGCCCTCTCCTAGTTGGAGGATTTGCGTAGTTTTTTGCAACATCTGGGCAGCCCCTGTTTGTGAAGACCGGTCTGTCCGTTACTGCTGCAGGGGGATGGAGTTGTTACTGCTGAGTCGCTTAAAGTCAATGATTTTCACAGTGCTGTTGAGAAGAAGTATAAAAGCTGTGTAGAAAAGGGGTTTTGGACCATAAATTCTACGTGAAATTTTTGAAGATGTACTCTGTAAGGCAGTTGCTTGCTATGCTCATTTTAGCTAATAAACACACCAGTACAGGTGGAGTAATTCATAATCAGCAGCGCGCAGTCACTGATTGTTGCCTCTTTTACCATTGAGACATTCTGAATACATAAGAAACAGTTGTGGGTTTTTTTTATCCTCTAGATGAAGAGATTTCATGTTGTGTTTATCTTCTCTGATTGAAGAAGTGTGTGTGCATATATATGTTTTGCATATAGATTTTGGTATGGAAACTTGAATGCAAATTTGGTATTTCATAAAATATTCTGAAGAGTTTGATTTGAGGTGTGCTGTACTTCCTAGAAGGAGGGTAAAGCAGAACATAAAAGCTTGGTGAAATGGCAATATCAATATTTGGAAAAGCAGTATAATTGTTTTGTTTGCTTCGGCTAAATAACAGATCGTTCAGTAAAAATATTTATAGTGGCTTTGTGCATTTGGAAAGCCAACTTTGGTGGCATACCTGGTGTTAGAAAACTTTTGACACCGTCCTTAGATTCTCAAATCTATTCAGTGCTAGCAAAAATTCAATTTTCTATGAAAAGCTTGATGAAATTATTATTTGCAAAACAAATATTCCTGCCGTCCCTGGTATTGTGTTGTTTACTTGGTTCTTGTTTTAATACTTGTCGTTTGGAAAATGGAAAGTGTTATTTTTCCTGACTTGAATATGGTTGGATCGTTGTGTGCTTCGCGCCTGCTGGGTTTGAGGCAGTCGAGGACTGTCTGGGACAGTCGCGGGGCTCAGAACTGCGGGAAGAGCTGGCCCTGGCTGTGGATTCCCGTTGCACCTCTGCAAATGTTAGGGCGTGGGTGGTTGTGAATTCATAAACCCTGTGCGTCTTCTCTACGGAGTTAATAAGTTGAGGTTGCCGTGTTTTAACCACGGCAGAATTAAATATGTTCCCCCATCACAGCTATGTGTAGGCTATGATTGAAATGTAATCTGATGATACGTTGCTTTGAATAAAACTGTGAGAGTGGAAAGGCTCTTTAGGAAATTTCTGATTAGTTTTATAATAAACTTCAGGACAGGAAAATCTCTTTGACTTTCTATCTTGATGGGCCTTAGTAAACAATAGAACAACACAGAATCTTGTAAGGAAAATGAGTTTTGCAGGTGAAGGAATATATAACTCACGCTTTCAAGCAGAATAAACGGAAGTTTTCAGGGTGAGTTTAATCCGAGTCCCCGTGATGGTGTACTGCAAACGAGCTGGGATTTTTAATGAATTTACAGTGAGTTTCCATGTTACCCTGGAGCATAACATCCCCTACAGCTGTCTTCCAATTGTTTGGGCTTAGAATATGAACCCCTTCACTGTTGGTGTTCCACACGTTTTAGGGAGATACAATTGTGATATTTAGCTTGCCACAAGGAAAGGCAGCAAATTCACTGTTGTAATAATGATGGTGCTAATAACGGGTTGCTAAATAAAAAAATAAAAACATTTTTGCTATGCTCCCTTACTATTTCAGAGGTGTTTAGATTGGGTGCCTCATTCTGCTCTGCCTCATGGTGCTTCTCCAACGTTCCTGCCACGTGACAGGTTACGGTATGAGATGCCCGGCGTCCGTCTGCTCTCCCGGCCCGCGCCGGGGCTGCAGCGACTGTGCCTCATGGTGCTTCTCCAACTTTCCTGCCACGTGACAGGTTACGGCATGAGATGCCCGGCGTCCGTCCGCTCTCCCGGCCCGCGCCGGGGCTGCAGCGGGTCGATCTGAACGGGAAGGGGATGGCTCCCTGCCTGGGCAGGCAGATGACGTATGTGCTGACGCCGTATTACGGAGAGGTGGTCCTGGTCTTCTGGGTAGAGTCTCTAAAGTCCGTAGAGCTAGTACAGACCCGTGAATGCAGCTTTGGAGGAAGAAACCCCAAGAATTCCTCTTCTGAAAGATTATGAGACTGAAGGATGCCACAAGGACAAACTTCCTTCACCTTCTCGTCACTCCTTTTCCTCAAGAGAGACACTCATCCCATGTTGTGTGGGTTCAGTGTTTTTTTTTTTTTAGGAATGCCTTCCTTTCCGTTTATGTTGCGTTTCTTGGGGAGAAAGGCTTTGGCCAAGCTCCTTTTGGTACTTCTTACCTGGTTTTCCATGATTTCAGCAGTCTGACTGACTCTCTTTGCCTATTCCTTGCTGCTATTTACATAAATTTGTGCCCTTTGCCTCTTCCAGCAAAAAGGAGGCAGAATTTATTGCCGTAAACAACATTTGCAGTTTAAGGGACTAGCTCTTCAGACTGCAGTCGGAGGAGGCTCATCATTTCTCCAGAAAGTGATGACATAGCAGAGTTTAATTGCCAGCCATTAATCCCAAATGTTTTATGTTCGTATTACGCATTACACAAATATACCTTACGAAACGTTCCGAGAGGAACTGAGTAGCCTACATAAGGTATAATCGTGTGCGTACGTGTGCGGCGCAGGTTTCCAGGCGGCTCTGTGGGCGAGGTGCAGCGCTGCGCGGAGACGAAGCTCAAAGCCCAGCGCGGCTGCCGCCTTCTCATCCTTTATTTCTTCCCGGCGGTGCTTCTGAACGATTTTGACTGTGCGATGTTTTCTCTAAGGGAAGGAAAAAAAAAAAAAAAACAAAAAAAAATCTGCCTATTGGGGGACATATAAAGCAGCGTAGTCATTAATTCCTTTCCCAAAGCCAGGTGAGAGGCATCCTTGGCTGTGCCAAGGCATGAGGAGACGTACCGCGTGGCATCTCGAGCGCGGGAGCCGGTGCCGCGGCCCGCTGAGCTCCTGAGGATGCTGCCCGTCCCGACAGTCGTTAGCCGCTGCGCCTGTCGGCCGCGGGACATCACATCGGGCACTGAGGGCTTCGGAGTCACTGCGTTTAAGATTTAAGCGTCTACCTGATAGCAGTTTCATCTTCTTACGCTAGTAATTTCTTCCTGTTGTGGTGTATAAAGGTGCTACTTCTGATCAAAGGGAAGGATAAAAAAATACATCAAGTAATAGTGTAAAATTTTCTTTGCTCAACTGAACCATAAATGAGAACTGCAGAAACCAAACTTCTGTGCGCAGAGTCTGTAATACTTATTTTTAAAAAGGCTTTTATGTAAATGTTTACTAGGTTGTTCTAGTGAGCCCTGATGTCTGATTTGCTCAGAAAAGTAATAGGTTTTTCCTTAAAAAGTCACTTATCTGTGCGTTCTGTAGAGAAGGCTTTATTTTCTTAGCTTTTTTCTTTTGTTGTTATTGCAGAAATGAATGTTTTAATTACTCTTCAGCTAGTAGAGAAGCCTTCATAAGTAACAGTTTCTCAGGATATTAAGCATCAAATTTTTCAAAGTAATTGTGATACTAAAGCTGAAAAAATGAATGTGATGGCAGAAAAATAAAACTGAGATGCCTTTGGTAAGATAAAATGGTAACGTTGGAATATTTGTCAAGATGGATTTTTTTTTGTCACTGAAGATTTAAGTGCTGCTTAGGAACATGCTTTAGTGGTGGACTTGGCAGTGTTGGGTTAACAGTTGGACTCAATGATCTTAAAGGTCTTTTCCAACCTAAATGATTCTATGATTAATTGATTTATTTACTTACAGGGATGGGATTATGCTATCACTTGCCTGGTAGTTAAAATTAAACAAAAAATAAAAGAAGCTGTTTAGAATTAGTTTAATATACATGTTCTTCAAATATTTTCAATAGGTATAAAAGTGTTTTCCAAATCATAGAATCATTATGGTTGGAAGAGACGTCAAAGGTCATCAAGTCCACCCGTCTACCTGATGCCACCATGCCCGCTAAACCCACTAAACCATGTCTCGAAGCGCCACATCTAGACGTTTTTTGAACAGAGACTCTGGTGCTGTGCTCTGTAATCCTGGTGTAAATCTGTTGAGAACAGTCATTTACTGTCCTTGGGATTACCACCAAAAGCTGCAAGTGAACAAATCAGTTTTTTTTTTAAATAATCTTAGAAACGATCTAGATATAAATTTGGATCCAGAGAGAGATAAAACCTCACAGTGGAGCATAGAGAAAACTGTGGTGTGTTTGTTTTTTTATTTTTTTGGTATTCCTTGTTGAACACCAAAGAACTGGTGCCCACGTGCTAAAAGTTGGCTTTTGCTCTCTTGTGTTACAGCTGTTATTTCTCGAAGCCAAGAAGGACCTGGAGAGATGGGAAAGGCTGTGCTCATTCCGAAGGATGACCAGGAGAAGATGAAAGAGCTGTTCAAAATCAACCAGTTTAACCTTATGGCCAGCGACCTGATTGCCCTGAACCGAAGCTTGCCCGACGTGAGATTAGACGGGTGAGTCCCGGCATACCCTGTGTCTCAGTGCCATCGGCAGAGCCGCGGCACAGCCTGCACCCGCCTCTGGCCTCCTTTCAGGCATGAGGTACGGCGTTGTCTCGAGGTTAATTAATGAGCGTTATTAGCAAGTGGCTGCCTAAGGAAGCTATTGGAAAATACCGGGGTTTACTGGTTCTAGATTTGGCTTCTGATACAAACTTTCTTAGGAAGAGAGTTACTGCATCACAAACGTCATTGTCCTGCACAATTTGTTTTTGTGAACAGATGAAGAGTTGTCAACTTGGAGCAATCAGTTTGCGTTGCGGCACATAATGAAGTGCCCTCTGGTGTGGCTTATCACCTGAAATAATTGAAATATTTTTTTTCTACAGGGGAAACTCTATTTCTAAGGTTTTAAAATGATGAAAGCATCAATGTCTACTTTATGAATTTTCATAATGATGCTGTCGGCATTTAAAAATTGACATTTTATTGCTGATAAAGAGAAAACGCAACCAATATCACAAACTACCTGCAGGATGTAGTTTTCTTCTAGTCTTATCCATAGATGTTTCCGGAATAACCAGAATTTTACAGAGTATCTTTCAAAATGTTTCACAACAATATAAAAACGGAAGGAGGTTTTGTGGTTGTGGTTTTTGTTTTGTTTTTAAGTCTAGTAACTTCTTATTTTTGAGTGAAGCCTGAAGTTTGTGCAGTGACTTTGAGACTGTGGAATAGCTTGGGGGAGTGTTTCACCAAGTCCATTGAATTATTTTTAATGGAATTTACAGATTAATTTTTCCGGTCACAGCAGTGGGCTTGCGTTGACGCGTGTATTTGATGTGAAAGTACAAAGGTGTGTGTTTATCCCCATTTGAGTAGGGATTCTGATGGCTCTCTAAAGATCCTGTAACAAGTTCTGGTACTTAAAAGTCTTGAGTCGTTGTGTTCTCGGCAGTCAGAGAATTTCCTCCTGTCTCCCAGCGGCAGCGTTAAGGCTAGCTGATGGAGTAGGCTTTCGAGCCTGTTTCATGTGACTTGAAACTTTTGCATAAAGGGACGTTCTCCTAAGAATCTCTAACTGAAACTGCATGTGTGGAGGATTATCCAAACTTTTACCTACTTTTAGAAGTAAATTTTTAGGGGCGGGAATCTTTTTTTTCCCTCGTAATTTCTATAGAAACCTAGTGTTGATTGAATGTTATCTTTTTCTAATTCAGTTTTTTCCCTATTCTCCTTCAGCTACATAAACAGTCTGATTTATAGGTACTATAGCTTGTAACAAATAAAAATTCAGAGAAATATAAGCATAGCTAAATATATACAGGTGGTCGTGTCTTCTAAAAATCTCCCATTACTTTTGCTTTTTAAACTGAATTGTCACTTAGCCGAAATCTTGCTTATTATTCTTTGTTTGGAGTTAAATTCTTCAGGTTCCCGTGAAATTTAAAATACAGTAACTACTTTGTTCCCCGGATTTCACTTGTAAATACCTGCAAATAATAGAAGCAGAAGCGTTGCTTTAACAATAGACGTCATTCGCAAACAACGTAGGTGATGCTTCTCCGCAACATGACCATTTGTAATTTGGTGATGCCAAGTTCCCGTGAAACAACGGCTCGGATCACTGCCAGCAAAGACTTATTTCATGAAACGGAAGCATTGGAAAAGCTGTATTGCTTATTGCTTCTTTGTTCTTTATTGCATGTGCTTGCAAGAGTGCCAGGGGTAGCCACGGTGAGCTGATGGAGCCGGCTTCGGCGTTGAAATAATTCCAGCAGGCACTGGGCATCCATTGTGCAGGCTTGCTGGGAAGTGAGGAGGATGCGATGCACTGCCGGGCTGGTTTTTCCCTTGACGGTACCTAATTGTTTTCGTGTACCGTGATGCTCTTGGCAGGTGGCCCGACGTAAGTTAAACTGCCCGGGTGGTGGTCAGGTCAGGGTTATGTGCTCATCTCCTGTCGCCTTTGCAGCCGGCAGCGAAACGAGAGCCGAGGGTTGCCCACCGTAGAGCAAGGGGCCACTGGCAAAACCTCTCGCTCTGTTGGGGAGAGCTTTCGCCTGTCCCTGCGAGCAGCCGTGGGAAAGAAGGCGCATGTGGAGAAACTGGTAAAATGTTCAACTTCATGAATAGTTCTGCTCAGTCTAAGGGAGATGAGCTATTTAATACTGAGAGAAATCTGTCTAAATGCATTTTCTTGATGCAGTGAAGTTTCATACTCTTTGTTGAAAGGACAGAAGGTATTATGGGATTTAAAAAAGAAAAAAAATTTCTTTTCTCATTTTCCTCTTCAGACAGATGCTTTCCGTACATATTCTGTCTTTAGGGAGTATTAAATTGTTCTGAAAGCCAGTTTATAATGCTTTGCTATTAAGGAAGAATATGATTTTATGGTTAATATATTTAGCATACGACAGAAAGACATATTTTTATTGACACGAGAGACAGAGGCATCCAATTTGCACTGGGTGTCTAACTCACTGTGCCTTTCATGTTACAAATGCAAGCTTCCATTTCAGAGGCCGGGAAGTTTTCTGTAGCAAAATTGGATGACTGGAAGAAAAGAAAATAAAAAGTGTTCTGGCTGGACATGCTGTCTAGGGGGACATTCGTAATAACCTCTGTAGCTGCGGATACTGCTGTGTCACGGGTAATCATGAGCTGATGAAATGGCACCGAGTTGTAAATGCATTAAATCAGTGTATTGGCTGTGAAACAACTGCACTTAAATGCAGCAGAAAACTTGAGGCTGGAGAGACAAAACTTTGCTGGAAGACCTTTGGGGTAGGGCGGACTAGTTGTCGGGGAAGAGCAGGAGGAGGGCAGGTGTCTGCAGCAGGGGAGCGGCTGGCGCGGCGCTGGGGGACGGGATCAGCCCCACGGGGCTCCGCATAGCCACCGACTTACTTGCAGATTGTGCGCTGGGACGTGGCCAAGCTGTTCTCCGTTTCTGTTTGGATGGCGGGGGATTAAAGGAGCGAAGGGCATTGATACAGGACTAATGAACTCTTGGCATGACTTGACCTTTTTATCGTAGCTATCACACATCAGCATTTCATTTTCACGTTCCTCTGTGCGTGTGCCGTGCCCTGAAGTGGCGATCTCTGTTCTGGCTGCCTGCGCAAGCAATTAAGGGTTCCTGGGCTGGGGGTCTCTGGGGCTGGGGGGGAATCACAGCTACTGGCAGCAGTCCTGAGCGCTGCTCCTCGTCTCCATCTTGCAGGAGATGACCCTGATGGATGGATGCAGGGACTCTCAGTCTTGGGCTGGTTTAAGACGGAGATGTTGGAAATTCCTGCTCCCAGTGGTGTCAAGTATAGGCTTAAAGCAGAAAATTACGTGCCTGACTTCCCACACCCTGTCTTCAATGAAAATAAAACCTCAGCTTATCCATTAGTCGCATGTTTAGAAGGTTTTATGATTTCCAGCTGTGGTTTAACCCTAAATGCAAAGGTGTCACCTCCTGGTGAGATTTCTCACTGCCTTTATATCTCTATGAGAATTATTTAGATTTGTGCATTATAACTTTATGTCCATGTCGCAGATGAATGTCTACAAATAGACCTAAGAATTCTGATTAGAAACAAACAACCCAAGAAAAAGAAGAGTCTTTATTGTAATTTCTCGTTCTGGAAATTAATTCTTCAGTTACGCTATGGTACATTTATTGGCAAAGTCTTTGGGAGGAGGGTGGTGAAAGGGAAGTAGTGCACCACTGACATGGTAGCTTTTTCATTGTTTTGGGATGCATATATATGTATATTAAAAAAAAAAATCCGTTTCCATTCTGTTCCTGTTCTCGCCTTTCTCATTCCTTTTCCCTCTTCAATCCTTGCTGCCCTTCTTATTCATGCCTTTCATTCAGGCAATTTTATCGCATCCCCCTAATGTGGGTGTACAGGTTTCTCTTGCTTTGCCAAGGCTGCAAGCGCGTAGCAGTTTGTGTGTACTTCTGAGAGTCCATCTACAGCGTGCAAACCTGGAGTAAGGATCAAAGATGCTCCTCAGTCCTCTTCGTTGTCCTCCACAGCTTGGTACTCCTGTCCCACAACGGCGGACAGTAACTGGGGCTCTCGCTGTTCGGGGTGGTTGCTGCTGTTGTGCCTCCAAAGGATCTCGGCAGTGCTGTGGCAAATGGAAGCCGTGTGTGTGTAAGTGTCGTAGGAGTCTAAATAAGAAACATGTATTTAAGAAGAAAAAAAAGAATGAGGGAATGGTAATTTTTTTCACGTTAGCTGATGAAAGAGCTCCTGCAACCTTTTATGACTCTGTTTCTGATTAAATGTTTGATGACTGAGCTAATTCTGGATTTACACTGCAACCACAGTACTTCTGTTTGTAAGATGAGGGAGAGTGTTTTACCCAAAGGAAAAATGTTAGGTTTCTAAAAAAAAAGTTTCATTTTATGAGTTGCAGGAAGAGAAGGAAGGCTGCGTTGGTTACTGGCTAATGAGAAATTCCCTTTACAGTTTTGTGAAATAAGGCATCTGTCTCTTGACTCGTCCTTCTCCCAAACAGGGGTGTTTGTGTGTGGACCTGATGTGAAGTCCTGACCTCCGTGAAGTCAATGAGAGTTTGCTCCGGCTTCGGTAGGAACGAGTTCTCCCGTCAGGAGACCACAAAATCCACCTCCGGTGTGCCGTAACGAAACAGTACGGCTGAGTCCCGTCCTGTCTCTGCTCCTGTGCTGATGTTGGAATTCCAGCTAGTGAATGCCACACTAACGCTGTAACTCGCTTCCCGTTACGTCTAGTGTTGTCTACCAGAGGATGTCCCTCGATTGCCTCAGTTCTGCTGGTAATGACCAACTTGAAGATTTTAATCAGTGTCAGGTCTAATTTGAAGTAGCTATTGATTAAACCTTAAACCCAATTTAATTCAACAGAAATATTTAATTTTGTTTCTAAGTATTCTCTCCGGCAAGGGAAGAAATCCATCTTCAATCTTTTCTGGATGAGTAATGTTGCAAGTGCTATTCTACAAATTGCTAAACCGTTATAATTGAATTTTCT